TTCAGTACAAATAAAATATCACCATAACTGTGTTAAGAATAAACCAAGAGGCAAAGGCAGAGACGGGGAAGAATTTAGAAATCAGTGGAATAACTAAGGAAAACAAGTTCTTTGCTTAGATTGTGGTAACAGCAAGAAAGAAAGTAGTAAGACTTTGAATATGTTAAAAAGAGAAAACCAACAGAAATCGCTTACAGACTGGCTGCAGGTACAGGCTTACGACCAAGTTTGGTCTAAACTGAAAGAACGGAACTGAAGTTTATTAAATGAGGAAAACTAAGCTTGGGTATTTGCAAGGTTAGAGCTTAAAAAAATGAGTAAGAAAGCTGGGTGTAGTGGAACACCCCTTTAATTTCAGCACTCGGGGGGCAGAGGCAGGTGGATCTTTGGGTTCAAGGTCAGCCTGGTCTGCAGAGTAAGTTCCAGGATAGCCAGGGCTATATGTAGAAACATCCTGTCTCAAAAAAATAGATAGATAGATTAGATAGAAAGATTAGATAGATAGATAGATAGATAGATAGATAGATAGATAGATAGATAGATAGATAGATAAGATAGATAGATACAGACAAAAAGAAAAAGGGTGAGAGCTGTGTGTAGTGACACATGTCTCTATGCCAGCTCTTAGGAAGACTAAGACAAGAGGACAATGAGTCTGAGTCTAGACTGTGCTATATTAACAACGCCTTGACAATCCTGCTTCAAGAAAAAACTATGGTTGGAACCATCAAAAGAAATATGAGCAGGGTGGTGGTGGCGGCGGCGGCGCCGGTGCCGGCGCCGCACGCCTTTAATCCCAGCACTTGGGAGGCAGAGCCAGGCGGATCTCTGTGAGTTTGAGGCTAGCCTGGTCTCCAAAGCGAGTTCCAGGAAAGGCGCAAAGCTACACAGAGAAACCCTGTCTCGAAAAAAAAGCAAAAAAAAAAAAAAAAGAAATATGAAAAACAGTCACCAAGAGACAAGGAAAATTAACAAAGCAAAGTCAAGTCAGGAAAGAGTTTCAAGGAAAAGGTATAATCAACTATAGCAAACACTGCTGAGATGTCAAGGAAGACAGCTCTGAGTTAACCGATGGAGTTAGTAACACAGAAACCAGCACCAGTCTTGAAGAGAGCACATATAGAGAAAACTACTCTGTAAGCCTCAATTTCTTATCTGTGATTTGGATAATAAAAGTAAACTACCCCGTAGATTTGCAATAAATTAAATAACGCCAATTAAATAAAATGGAAAGCAAATGCCTTTCCCGTGGGACTGATGAGCAGAAATTTTTATGTCATCACCTCCTCCAAAAGGATAAGGGCTCCCATGGGGAGTCCGAAAAGCCTGGCACAATCAGTTGAGGCAGGACCAAGCCCCTCCCCTCTGCATCACAGCTGAACAAGGCCTCCCACCATAGGTAATGGGCTCCATAAAGCCAGCTCATACACCAGAGATAGATCCTGCAAACTAAAATTCTTACTTCAACAAAAGTTGATGGAGAGGTGGTCTGTTTTTTCTGAGACTTTTCTTCTTTCTCACAAGATTCTTTGACAGACATCTTGAGAAACTAAAAGAAACATTCAAAACACATTTTTTTTCCATCACAATAAAAAATATATCACAAGCCACTCTTCCCTTAGTTCTATAGGACTGGAGTTTTACAAAATGTTTTTCGTTTTCTTGCTAAAATCAGCACAGCAAAAGCTAAAACTTGGAGTTCTAAGGAAAGATCAATGACCACAGATTCACAGTGACTCTCTGGGTTTCTTTCACTGAGGAAAGAGAACAACTTTATTTCCTGGGAGTGCCAGGCTCATTTAGAGTTTAAAGATACTAAGGCTCAGAGCCACCTCAAGACATACTTCCCCAAAAGGCACACCTAAAGGCATTTCCTTCTGGCTATCGGATGGCCCTTCAGTTTTCCTTGGTGAACTCAAGGGGAGAATTATCTGAATCACAGGTTGTCCTTTAATCTAGGTTTGCCCTTTGATGGAAGCTTTAAAGGCCCTCTGCATAGCAACAATTTCTAATCACTCTCAAGATACAGTTCTCTCACTGATTCTTTTCTTTACTTACATTCTCTTGCCTAAAGATCTGCTCCTTCAGCTTCGTCAATCAACTTTTCAGAAATGGTTCTCAAGACAAAGCCCTGAAACTCTCCCTTCTCCCTTAAGCATCAGATCAGCATTCTGGCTGCCTAAAAAGACTGTTTGTTTTGCCCTCCTTACTCCTGAAAACAGATTAACCATAATTCTTCATTTCTCAACACATTGTCACTCATTATGTGATACTTCAAACCAACTGCATACATGTTTCTAAGCCCCAGGTTCATCTTATGTAAAACAGAGGTAACTTATCCTAGAACATCTTTTTGCTTCTGTTTTGTTTTTTGAGACTGAGTTTCTCTGTGCAGATCTGGCTGTCCTGGAACTTGATCTGTAGACCAGGCTGGCCTCTAACTCAGAGATCCATTAGCCTCTGCCTTCCAAGTGCTAGGATTAAAGGTGTGCTCTGTAATGCAAATCTTAAAAGGTATTAATAAAAAAAAATTAAAAAAAAAAAAAACAAAAAAAAAACCAGAGCCAGATATTGAGGTGAAAGCTAAAAGATCAGAGAAACAGAACAAGTCACAGCCAACATCACCTCGGCAACTCCTCAGCTGATCCTATTTCCACCAATCCTCAGACTAAAAGCCTCAAGTCCTCACCCCTGAGGGGCTCAGTTGAACTGCTGCTTAGTTCCTGTCTCCTCACCGTTCTCCATGCAGCCATGTCCTAGGATCAAAGGCATGTGTGCTTTCCAAGCAAAGGCATAAGATCTCAAGTGCTGGGATTAAAGGCGTGTGACACCACTACTCAACTCTGTTCCCAGTGTGGCCTTGAATTCACAGAGATAGGATTAAAGGTGTGTGCCACCACAGTCTGGCCTCTATGTCTAATCTAGTGGCTGGCTTTGTCCTCTGATCCCCAGATAAGTTTTATTGGTGTGCACAATATATCACCACAGTGTGCCGCCGCCACCACTACCACCAGCCAGCCCTAGAATATTTTTTAAGGAGCCAGAGTATAATAGATATAAAAATTACTTTGAGATTGGTAAGATGGCTTAGTGGACAAAAGTACTTCCTGCACAAGCCTGATGACCTGAATTTCATCTCCCAATCCCATGGTAAAAGAGAAGTGACTCCTGAAAGTTATCCTTTCATTTCCATACATGCTCTGTGACAAGTACGCACTGACACTTATGCACACACAATAATAAAAATTTTAAAATACTTTGCACCAAGATGTATATAGCAGGATCTAAATAAATACCTATGTGGTTGGCTTTCTACTAGCCCTAGAGTTCCTTGAAAAGTGTGTTGCATTAAAAACTTGGAAGGTAAATAGGCTTATTAGATAGAACACACCTATAATCTCAGTATTTTGGAAGCCATAGCATAGAGGATTGTTGCAAGTCCCAGGCCAGATAGGGCTACATAATAAGTTCTTAAGAGTAAGACTATTTAAAAGAACAAAGCAAAAACTGGAGACATATTCATGAATGACTAAGTGAATGAATGAGTGAATTAATTCTCTGTAGTCAACTTTTTTATTCTGAGCTATTTCCAATTCTTTCCTAAACCACAGATTCTCTGTCCATTTCCTAACCCAGTTTTACTTTTCAATCCCTGCTTTAGACCAAGTCAGTACCATCTGACAAGGGGAAAAAAAACAAAAACAAAAAAACAGAAAAGAAATTGATAGGATAGCCATAGCCATACCTTATGGTCATAAACAGTCTCAAGCTTGTGGGCACTGGTAGTACAGAGCAGCATTCTGTGCTGGGATACGATGGTCAGAGACTGGAAACATCACCAGATCTATTGGGACAGGACATCATTAAAGTGAAGTCCAAAAAACAGTAAATAGCTGGCAGTGACAATATGAATATAACAAAGACTACAAGCCAAGTAATCAAATTATTCCTGGTCATTCATGATTCAAATAAGTAAGTAAAGTTGTATAAAATAAGATCTCCCTGCACTGCATTCAGGAGACAGTGGCAGGCTATACAGTGAGACCCTGTTTCAAAAAAAAAAAAAAACAAATAAAATAAGTAAGATTTAATGCTGGTAGCTAACAGGGAAAATAACTTACAAAATTAACACATGAACAGTCAACAAACTTCTAAAAACAATCTCTTAAGTACCAAAAATGTTTGCCTTCAAAGACAGTCTACGATAATAGCTGAATTCATGCTAAACCTTCTGGCTTATAGTAGTAGTCTTCTCTTGTCTAAAGAATTTCATTCCAGGCCGGGCGGTGGTGGCACTCGGGAGGCAGAGGCAGGCGGATCTCTGTGAGTTCCAGGCCAGCCTGGGCTACCAAATGAGTTCCAGGAAAGGCGCAAAGCTACACAGAGAAACCCTGTCTTGAAAAACAAAAAAAAAAGAATTTCATTCCAGTAGCATGGAAGACACAATAAGAGAAAGGGAATAAAAAAAAAACCAACACCCCTCCCAAACAAACAACCTTATATTGGCAACATTAAAAGGTTTCTGAACACATCAAGCCTAAAAATTAACTGAGCATGTGTAATTAATCCTACATATTTCTGGCTATACCGACTAGTACTGTATCATGTGACTTCACTGCAGCCTTGAACACAGTGTATGTGCATTTTGTATTTTGCATGCCCTCATACCCACAAAACCCCAGCTACAACTGCCTAAAACACCTTGGCTCATATTCATGACTATTGTATGTCATGAACTGCAGTGTTTTTACCGGCCATGCAAAATTTTCTGCTCTTATAGAAACACATTATAATGACTTGGTTATAGAAAACAAAGAATTTTAATATCTTCCTACAGCAATTCTTCAGCATGTAAGCATTCAAATACTATATCTTTGGACGGTACTGTGTTAAAAAGTTTGCATGCAAATTGATGTTTGAGTTTGCTGACTTCAGTTTCATATTTTTTTTTTTTTTTTTTTTTTTTTTTTTTTGGTTTTTCGAGACAGGGTTTCTCTGTGTAGCTTTGCGCCTTTCCTGGAGCTCACTGGTAGCCCAGGCTGGCCTCGAACTCACAGAGATCCGCCTGGCTCTGCCTCCCGAGTGCTGGGATTAAAGGCGTGCGCCACCACCGCCCGGCCAGTTTCATATTTTTAAAAAGTTAAATTAATTTTGCTTTGAGATTAGGAAAAAACTTTCCAACAATTTTTGAAATGATCCCAGACATATTTTTGCTGATATGCATTACATATTTATGTGAAGCAATGTTCTCAGCATTGATGATTATAAAATCAAATTATCAATCATCTCTGAAAAGTTAAAGATGTTATTGTAGTATCAAATATTCAGTTAAGATTTAATTTTTATATAAAAATAAACACATTTCATTAGTATACAAATTTGCTTTTACCTTTAATAAATAATCAAATTATATATATTAAAAAATTTTAAATAAAGATTTATCTCCAGTAAATGTTTGATTTGCATATATTTTAGATCCCCATATCACTGGGTCCAATAAAAATTTCTCAAGCGAAAAAGGGTCAAAGGTAGAAAATTTCTAAGAAGCCCTGCCACAGTTCCCCAAAAAAAAAAACTATAGCTCACTACTATAATGCTTCTATAGTGTCTTCCACAACAAACATGGCTGACCTGTAAAATCAACAGGATATCACTGCATGGTATACTAGCTAGGATTTCTATTGCCATGATCAAAAGCAACCTGGGGAAGAAAGAATTTATTTCACTTTCACTTCCACATCACAGACCATCCATCACAGAGGGAAGTCAGAGCAATAACCCAAGCAGGGTAGGGATCTGGATAGAGGCAGGAACTGCTGATGCAGAGGAGGAATACTGATGAGGAATATTGCTTACTGGCTTGCTCAGCCAGCTTTCTTATACACAGCAGGACCACCTGGTCAGAAGCCAGAATAGGCTGGGCCCTCCCACATCAATCACTAATTAAGAACATGCCCACCGGACGTTGGAGGCACATGCCTTTAATCCCAGCACTCGGGTGGCAGAACCAGGCGGATCTTTGTGAGTTCGAGGCCAGCTTGGGCTACAAAGTGAGATTCAGGAAAGGTGCAAAGCTACACAGAGAAACCCTGTCTCGAAAAAAAAAAAAAAAAAACCAAACAACCAAAAAAAAAAAAAAAGACTTGTCTACAGAGCCATTTTTCTCAACTAAGATTCCTTCTTCCACCTGGGCGGTGGTGGCGCACCTCTTTAATCCCAGAACTCGGGAGGCAGAGGCATGCGGATCTCTGTGAGTTCGAGGCCAGCCTGGGCTACAGAGTGAGTTCCAGGACAGCCTGGTCTACAGAGCTAGTTCTAGGGTGGCCAAGGCTACACAGAGGAAACCCTGTCTCAAAAACAAACAAACAAACAAAACCAACCAGCATAGATGGCACGTAGTTACCTCATAGAAGACATGTGGCTTCTGTCTTTTTGTCTTAGATTACTCATTCTGGGGAAAGCCAGACACCAAGTCCTAAATGATACTCAGGTCCAGGATACGTGTCCGTGTCCATGGAAAGTCACACCCAGCAACCAAAACCAAGTTTCTGACACAGGAGTGACTTTGAAGCTGACCCTTGTCAGACAGCGGACCTAGCAGATAGCCTCACTGTATCCTCATTAAAGACTCAAAGCCCGATCTACCCAATAAGCTAATTTTTAATTCCTGATCCACAAAACTGTGGGAAATAATGGGGCTAGAGAGATGGCTCAGCAGTTAAGGGCACAGGCTGCTTTTCCAGAGGTCCTGAGTTCAATTCCCAGCAACCACATGGTGGCTCACAACCATTCATGACATCTGGTGCTCTCTTCTGGCCTGCAGGCAAACATGCAAGCAAGACACTGTATCCACAATAAATAAAAGATATGAAATAACAGCTGCATAATGGTGGTGCATGTCTTTAATTCCCAGGACTCTCAGGAGACAGAGGCAGGTGCACCTCTGAGTTCTAGGCCAGCCTGGTCTACAGAGTAAGTTCCAGGACATCCAAGGCTACATAGAGAGACCCTGTCTAGAAAAAACAAAAAACAAAACAAAAAGATATGAGATAGCTTATTTGGCAATGCAACTGGTGCTTAAATATACTCTCTTAAGTTTTTAAACCGAAAATTACTTCATGCTTAGAAATTCTGAACTAAAACTGCCACTGAATTCCCATGCTAACATTTACTTATCATGTTTTCTAGCTGGCATTAAATGAGGTTAGAATATTGAGTCAAGCTTTCAAATTAAGCATCTAATCTTTTATACATTAAAAAAGAAAACCAAGTGCTGAGGATGTCTTTTAGAGACATGATACAGCGCTTGCTATTCGTACCCAAAGTCCTGGGTTTCATCCTCAACCTCACAAATGCTGCCAAGAGCTGAGGAGTGAGGGGTGGGGTGGGGGAGGGGTTCTGGAAATTAAAAATATTAGGAAGTCTTGGATGGTGCACTGATCGAGTTAGCGTTTCTCTAAGCTGTGATCGGAGCTGCTATCTCACTTCAACAACTGTTAAAGAGTCAAGTCAACTCTACACATAAGAATACATGTCAAGTGAGCTCCAGGAAAGGCGCATAGC